ATTAGTAGCACAACTGAAATTGTTTACTATTTGGATAACTTTGTTAAATGCTTACATTTTATGACAGATTTGTGGGTTACATTTAATAAGTCTTTAACACTATTTTGAAAGTATATAAAACTTTGGTTACATGAACATTACAAAATAATTTTGAAATATTTTATTCCAAATTTCACATTTGATTTTTATACAACAGCATAATACTATTTTCTGGATTTAAATATATATTTTTTTAAACTGTAATCTTTACTTTAGTTTCCAACTATGGAAAGGGTATTTCACTTTTTAAATATTAAAGTCTTATGAAATGTTGATTTAATTCTCTAAAATATTTCTTTTTCTAGTAAAATCAGATTCAAAATGTAAAAATGATGCTTAGTGTATCTTAAAATGTTAGTCAGAAATGTTTTCTTCTGTTTTTAAAATGAATTAATGTATATTTTTCACAATTTTCAACATTTGTATATGTTATATACTGTACGTATAAATACTAATGGGTATGTCCCAATCCTCATAAATATGTTGGACATTATTGTATGGGGGGGTAATATGCTGTCTAAGTAGTCTACGACTAGCAGTGGCTTACCTTTTTTTCACTCCGCTTGTGAGTATTGTATTTTGTTGATGTTATAAAGATTACCATTTCACTTCCAACTTCCGTTTTGGTTATTCCTCATTCAGTAACATTTTCTAGGTTACAACAGTATACTTGACTACTTTTAAAATTGATGAGGAAAAATATTATCACAACATTTTAACCTCAATTTCTAAATTTTAAGTTTTGAAAACTGAAGTTAAACGTTATAAATTTTAAATAAGACAAATCCTCTCACCCACTAATCTATTGTAACAGGAAATTAAAATACAACAGAAGAAAATATATAAATGATAGAAGAAAAATAAATAGTTGCTTGTAATGATCTTAATACGGCAAAAAATATTTTTTAAATTAATTTTTTTGTTCAGTAAAAATCCAAGGTAAATTTCAACTCTTTATTGAAAATTTATTTGATTTCAAAGGTATATCAATAAGTTTAAAATGATTTGATTGATTGGGGTTTAGGTAATAACAATAACGTTATGATGCTTATATAATGAGTCTAATTTTTTAAATTAAGAAAGTCAGCATGTTTGATCTCTGAGTAGTGAAGTTGAACTTCTAATAATTGAATCATTTAAGAAATTTGTATTGTAAGTTTTATACTAGTCCATATAAAGATATTAACGCATATATTTTTCTCTCATATTAATCTCTGAATATTGGTCAGCTATAGATTAGTTTCATGGTAGCCAGAGCTAAGTGTTAAAAAAAATACAATAAACAGAGAATATGAATCTAGAATCTATTTTTAAACAATTGTTCATGGCTGAATAAAATCCATTCTAACTTGCAGATTTTTTAAATCTAAAATTTGTTATATAGACAGAACTTGGTTTATGACAAATGTCTTTACAAGTTTTGTACTGTTTTTTGTCAGTTGCATAGGTTAAAACTTTGTAAATTTGTTGCCATTTTCTAATTGATGTGTCAAATAATCTTGTTTCAATTTATTTTTAAGAAAGAAACCTGATTTTGCCTATACAATAATCAATTTTCTAAAACTCTTACTGGCTGAAATTTTTAGCTTTCATGATGACAACTGCATTTTTCCTTATTCCACATTCATGAAAAGATTGCTTAAATTGTTTCATTTAGAAAAGTATTTAAGATAGAAGTGAAAGATTTAATTTTAAATTAAGATTTTATTACGATTGCCTAATTCTTTTCATGTGCTAAGCTTGACATTTTCTTCATCAGTTGTATTTTTATCATCTAAAGGTTTTGTGCAGTATGTCAGAAAATATATTTGTTGAATTGTAAAGATCTTGATTTAAATAATTTATTTTTGTATTGGCCCTCAAAATATTTGAACATTTAAAATATTTTGCATAACTGATCTACCACTTCTTCTATTTGAATAGTATAGCCTTTTATTTTTGTTTAAATGTTTTGTCATAATCAGTTTAGGAAAAATTAGACCAGTTCATCTCTGTGCCAGCTTGCATGAGAGACTGTTGAAAAGTTCTTGGCCTAGCCAAAAAGCCCTTCCAAAATAAATTCTGATATTTGATGATTAAATTTTGTGAAGTGGGTCAGATTGAAAACTTCAGCACCTCCTTGTATATTCTGTACAGCTTTTCTTAGATTTTATAAGTTTGAAAATCTAAAATTTCACACTTTTTAGATAATTTTATTATTATTAACATTAAATATAATTATGTCCTGCAAACTTGGTTCATAGATTTGTATTTGGTGTGCCCATTGGTCCTTGTGTCTCTTATTATCCAAAGCATTTATTAAAGTGTTTAAAGTATATCTGGTTTTCTGGCAGTCCAAATTTCAATTTCTAGGTCAAGTAATGTTCAGTGGAAGAACTGGACAAGCACCACAAAGTCAAACAAATTAGAGAGATATCATATCCTCTAAGCTTTGTTGTCTCCTCTCTTTGCCCTTAGTCTATGGATTCATTCAATAAAGACAATTATCTTATAGAACCAAGAATGTCTGTCAGCAGCCTGTATTATCCATTTGTAATCAGTACAGAAGGAGGCAATAGTCTTTTGTGGGGTAGGTGGAGGATTCTTAGTATGTCTCATAGTGCCTGTTGGTTGTCTTGATTGGAGGCCAGCTCCCCAAGTGATCTTTAAAAGTTGATCTTCCATTCTTGATACATGCCCAGCTCAGTGCAGATATAATTTTGGAGCAGGGTTTTAATGTTGACAGAATTAAGACACTCTTCATAATTTTAATGTTTATGAAGAAGTTTCTTCAATACTCTTTGAAGATAGTGCAGGGATAGCACTAGTATGAGTGTTTGTGAAAGCACATGTGGTACTGGCCTCTAACCCAACATTCAACACCATAGAGGAGAATGGGCAGCACACCTGCTTTTTATAGATCTGTAGTTTGGTCAAAACAAGAAATTAGCTTGCTTTTGTAACTTTGTTGTCAACCTTTTTATTGATTTTATTGTCAGTTGATATATGACTTTTTCCCAAATAGGTAAAGTCCTGAAATACATTCAGTTTTGTTGAGCCGAAGATGGGTATTTTGTTTGAGGTATAGGTTGTTCGAAGATGAGATTTCTTAAGACCAACTTCTAAACTGAAAAGTTTGGTAACCTGGGCTAACTTTGAGTAGATGAGCAGAACCGCATTGTTTGCAAAAACAGAAGTTTATCTAGCACCTGTAATGTAGAATTTATGTGGGCTTTGGTTCAATAGGTGGCCATTTGTATGTATGTGTGTGGGTGTAGGTTTTTGTTGTCATTCATATCCTCTGATATGTGTTTTTGTGGGTGTTAAAAAGTTCTCTCCCCCACCCCAATTGCTTAAGATTTTAGTTAAGCTGGGAACATTTTTCCCTCTTGCCTTTTGTGTATATGTACATATATATATAATCTTTTGTTGATTATAAATTATGCACTCAGAGTGTCTGTTAAATGCAACAATGTAAATCTCATGTCAGTTGAACTTGTTTATTTTGCCCGTTTAGGAATTTAATGTTTTTAAGTACCTGGTAGGTGATGGTCAGTATTAAAATAATATCTGGGAGAATAAAAACTAAAATTTGTTTTGAGGGCTTGGGCTCTGCTTGTGGTGTAGGATTTGAATTTAGACATGTGGATATTAAGTGACCTGAAATCATAGTAAGACATTGCATAAACAAAACTAAAAATGCTAAGTAGCAACTTAAGCTCACTTAAGTAGAGGTAGTAGACTCAATCTACTTCATTTATCTCCTAAACACCAGGCTTAGGGTGTCACTTTAAATCCTTTTGATGCCAATTGTTTAAACATTTATCTCTCTAATAAAGTAAATTTATTCAGCAGGACTTGATATTGCTTAAACCCATTATTGTAACCATTTCTTTCTATATCTTAGCTTTATTTTAAAAAATCAATGTCTGGTTGTTGGGGTTTCTATAACTTTCAAATGAAGTAAATAAATTTGAATTTCCTTTCCTCCAAAAACATACAAAGTATGAGAAAATATAAGTTTAACTGTTAACAATTAGGAATTTTATTATTATTATTTGTTGAACTTTATTTTAATTTCTACAACTATTTTTCATTTTGTGTAAATGAAAGTGATTTGGGGTGGGGTAGTATTTAAATTACGTAGCCCTGAAATGTAACATGCATGCAACTTATTTTTGAGTGCACTTAAAAAGATCGCCATGTAAATTTAACTGCAATATTGTTGTCATTAAAAAAATAAAATTTTCTTTTAAAGTTTAAAAAATAAAAATGTTTTAACTGTTTACTGTTTTATTCTGCAGTAGATTTACATTCTTCTAAAATGTACCTGTGGCTTGACATTTGCTTCTAGCATATTAAAATCACAAGTCATTCATTATTTGTAATGCAAAGATATTTCATACTTACAACTATAAGTTAGTTGCCATATCATAATGTTAAAATAATCATTAGTTTTGATACAAGAGTTGCCGCCCTTGCACCATTTTTTTTCCAACGATTTCTTCCTTACTGTGAGAAAGGCATGCAAATTTCTTTTTGTGTGTTTTACTGATTTAATAAATGTTTGCCAAAAATTAGAGAAAAGTTACTCGGCTAGGCCCACTTCTGAAAATTAGTATTTCAATGAATAAACAAATTTTTTGAAGGGTTAAAGAAAATGTACCAAGTGTGTTCAACTGTGAGGTGACTAAGTGGAATATAGTATGTACGTTAATCAGGTTGAGAACTTATACTAGAAGAAAATGTCTTTGTATCTTCTAAAACATGTTGTAGATTTTTTTTTTTTTTAATTGGATCTTATTTCATTATTTATGTTCACCTTTTATGTACTTCTTTGTAGAGACTATTATTATCCCCCAAAATGTTTTGTTTTTACTTTCCTTTATACTTCATGTGGTTATTTATTTTGTTACTCATTTGTAAGAAATTGATTAATGGTTTAATGCATATTTTTTGTCTTAATTTTATGCATTTCTCAGACTGCTGAAAAGGAAAAAGATCCTGAAGCTTCAAAACTGCCAAAAGCAATCCATGTGACCTTCATACCTCGGAGATCCAAGACTTGCATCAACATGAGTCTCATGTTCATCTCTTTGATAGTTCTTTCAGGGGGAGCCATTGGAGGAATCTACCTTTATGGACATCTCAAGCACACGGTCAGTGTTCACCTCTTATCAACAGTATTAGCTTTGTCTTGTCTCTTTGGGGGGGGGGACCACCCTGTAAATTATATATCACTTCCTAACTGGTGACATTGGAAATTTATTCGAGATTTGTTTTTAAATATAAGATTCATCTTCCACTTACAATCCTTGTTAACTTTTATTGGAACGAGATTCTTAAAACTTTCATTTAAACAGCAATACTTAATGCTGATTTCTTTGTTTTTATTCACTATAGTATATTAATTTTTGTTAATATGGATTATCAAAAATTTCCGACAAATGTTTCAATGTTTGCAGTGTGAAAAGATTCAACATTAGAATAGCTATCACAAACTAAAATTTTATTTTCAATATATCTAAAAACCTAGATCTTGATTAACCATAAAAAATACTAAATTATCTTAGTAACTCAATTAGCAACAGTTATGACTAGTTATAATTCATAAACAAGTGTAATTTTAACTGTATAACTGAAGATGCAGGTTTCACACAAGTTAAAAATAAGCATAAATGTAATGTCATATAGGTAGTCTTGAAATAAAGAATATGAATATAATCAATAATTCTTAGATCAGACTAGTTAGTCTAAACACTGGAAAAATTAATTCTCAGAAACCAAATTATAAAAATGACACAGGACAAATTTAACTGATCATATAAGTTTCATTTCAACAGTTAATGCCTTGCAACGTTCTATGCTTCATAGCACAGCAGAATTAAGCTAATTTTTTTTTTTTTTCAGTAGTATATTGATAAAAAAAAAAACCTATATTTACACCACAAAAAACAGTCATAAGTGCAAAAATAGGTCAAATAGGTCGTACTGAACTTGCCAATAAAAAGTATCCATTGGAGATACATGCATGAAACTTTACTAATTTAGATATGAGGGAATCCAGTAAAATAGCACTTTTCACTGTAATATCAATACTTTTTTGTAAAGAGTATATCTTATTTTGGAAAATTTTGTGAAATTATGTAATTTCCAACTCCTCAAAAGCAGGACAGTAATGATGACTACAAAACTTAGAAATTTGTCTTACAAATGGTAAACAGTTTATGATAGTGCTTTAAATGTTTTCAGTTTTAAACATGCAGAAAAGACTTTGCAGACATTAATGGTTCTCTTTGCAGACTTTAATGGTTCTCCTGCATTGTTCTCTCATGATGATTTGCCAACTGAATTTCTTTATATGGTTAATATTTCTGGAACGCTCCATAACTAGCCATCATTTGAAACTGGCATTATATCAAAGTCCCATCTGAAGACAAATGTTGATTCCATTTGTGTAATGATCATCTGACAAAGGCCATCAGAAATAATCAGTTCTACTCTTTGTTGGTGCTAAAAATTTTATCACAACACTGAATGGAGATGTAATATCAGTGAATTGGCCAATGTAAAAGTTGGAATTGCAATATACTGCAATGTCCTGGCTTTGGCACTTGTAACAAAGTCACCTGAAGTGGTTCTTCCTCATCATGCTTAGAACACCTTTTCTCCTCTCCTTTGTCTTAGAGATGGATATGTCATCAAGTATTTGCAAAGAGCAGCTTCCAGCTGAAATTTGCTTCCATTGGTGTTGATTTTGATACCTGAGAAAACCTTCAGATATCTAAGCTAAATCTATCAGTGCTTCCAAACCACTGTTTCTACATCTTTAATATACATAACAAGACCACTATACTTGATGACTGAGTTAATGCTTGTATTTCTCAGCACTAGCTTGACAGTCTTTTTCTTCTCACTTTTAGCAATCCTTTCCTGTACATGAAGTTTCAGAAGTACTTCTTGTTGCTTGTGTTTTTGTCAAATGTTTTGCATGCTTTCTTGAAGTGCCAAGAACTGATTGCCACTCAGTTGCTGATTTTGCTTCCAGCCAAGCTGTAGTTTAACAATTAAAAAATATATGAGAAAGATTTAAACTATCAATGAAATAAGTCTGATTTAAAATTGGGTTCAGCTGTTGATGTTTATTCACTCGGTCAGCAATACAAATTTCTACATGTTAGCCCTGATTATTTTGCATATAATGAATTTTTGATTAATATGTGCTTTGAGTTGTGTGCGGGCAGAGATATGAAACCAACTAATTATTAAAGATGATATATTGCTGTACAAGGAAGTGTCAATTTTGTTTATTTTTTGTTTTTTTTAAGTGTTTAATGTTTATAAAAAAGGCACAGGGAAGCCATATTATGGCAATTGGAAAGTGAATGAAGCCCAGATGCCAGGTCAGGACTAATAACATTGCAGATTCCTTGGATTTCATCAAGAATCTCTAAATATATAGCAGGAGCATCAAAACATATGTGGCAGCAATATTTAAAGCCAGGAAAAATGATAAACTTATAAATATGTAAGATGGGTTCTGGCAAGAAAAATTGTCTTGCATGACAGTGAACCAACTTTCCTAGCTGCACACTTATGCTGAAGTTCCAAACTACCTCAAACAATTGGTCAATGAATGCTGAATGTTTCCTTCTAAGAAAACAACTAATATATTACCATTATCATTGTTAGAGAAACTTTAACACTGTCACTGGAAGTAGTGTTCTGCTAGAAAATCATATTCATCAATTCTCTTTTCACAATGAATTTTCTTCATTGAACCCAATATCCCTATTGTATTATCTTTCCTCTTGGACTAACTTTATTTGATTGATCCTTATGTCTATCCTGTAAGTCTTGATCAATGACACTGTTTATAGAAATGTTGTGTAATTTTATGGACACTTGCAGTTTCCATTTAACATCATGATCTATTTTAAAAAAAAATGCTAAGGTTTCTAGTATTAACTAAGAAGAATTAAAAATTAGTATAACTCGGGTTCATTCTTTATCAAATGAATTTTTTTTTTTTCAGACTTTGAAATTATTTTACCTTTTGACCTTTAATGGATACTATTTATTTTATTTTGGTTATAACATCAATCATTTTCTGTTGCTGCAAGAGCTGGTGCAAGCCACCTTTTTCTTTTTCTTTCTTTTTTTTTTTTTTTTTTTTTTTTTTTTTTACTTGATTTTGGCTCTCATAGGCACACTATATGTGTCAGGTTTTGTACTATACTGAATTTAATAAATACCTTTTTGAACTAGTGATGACAAAACTAGTAAAATAAAATAAAAATTAGTGGTCATGTTTGTTTGTTCTTGAAATTTTTCTATTATCCAGAAAATTATACCCAAATTAATAATTATCAATTGAGTAATAGCTTAATTATGATTCATCCTGTACTGTAATTTTTACTGTTTTGAAATTTCTGTTTAATTTGGTTCAGTAATGTATGAAATCTCTTTTGCCTACAAAAACACAAAGCATTTTCTGTAAATAGAAATTTGCTATAAACTCATAAACATGGCTGAATTATTTTTATTAGTTAACTTTTTTCTTTTCAAATATGACTGCTATTAAAGTATTTGTCTTAATTTGTAAAGTTCTAAGCTTTGGTTACAATACTGATAACACTTATAAATTAGTTAGATTTAAATACAGTTTAAAAAGATGATTGTTGTAGAATTTGTGAAAAAAAATCATAATTGGTTTTGGCTTTTCCTTTATTTCTAACCTTGTGTGTTTATTTCATCTTGGCAGTAAATCAAACAAAGAACTGATAAATTTATTGAGGACTTCAATTTGATCCTAATTAGATGTGTTTGCTTTTAAGGAAACTTAAAATGGATGATTGTACAATTTCAGTTGAGGTTTCTGCTTCTCATCTACAATCGATACATTGTGTAAATGTTCTCCAGTTATTGATAGAAAATTTATTTTTTCATAACACAATTTGATGCAAACCCAATCAATTTCCTGTCAGGGAAGATGATTAATGAAAATCTCTACTTTTGATTTCGCATTTAATTCAAATAAAACCTATTTCTCAAGCAATCATTTTTTTTAACATCCTTTCTTAATTGATTTCAAAAGATTCCAGTTTTTTTTTTTTTTTTTTTTTTTTTGGCCAATTTGTTTAAAAATGAAATCTTGATTTACATACTTTTTAAATTTATTCATTCATATTGTTCTGAAACATAAATAAAATGAAATTTTCATTGAATAGTTAGTTCACAGTATATATAATAATTTAAAAGAAAAGAAAAAAGGCTAAAATGTCAAAGTTGAACTAAAATTGATGGTTTCGTGTTCAATAGCCTGAGATGAAAAAATAGTAATTCACAATGATAAATGTCTTTGAAATGTCTGGCCACGGTTTTTGCTAGATTGTACTATATAATGTCAAACCAAATTGAAAACAAAGAATCAGTGTATTGGATCAAGAAGTTACATTTGACAGTTCCACTCAACGATGGATTTACTATTAGAGGCTAATATAGGCTATTAGCTGTTTTTTCTTTTTTTAATCAGTATGAAAATAGAGCTTTTCTTTGAATATCCTTAATCTTAACATTTTATATAAAAAAATTTACACATTCAGATCAATATTTAAAATTAAACATGATTTCAGTTAAATTACAATGCTATAATAAAACAAGTTTCAAAAATTAATTGTAAAATGGTTGATATCTGACCTGGAATGTAACTGCTTTCTTGTGGCTTTTAATCTTTTACAGATGTATGGGTTCAATGTGAATTTGTATTTCACTGACACTTGGTTAATGATCCTGCATTTAGTTGACATGACATAATTAGACTTGTATCCTTTGGGATTCTAATAAGAATGATGTATCTGCAAGGTTAATAGGGACAGTTTTGTTTGCTTCTATTTATCACTACAGAAAAGAACACTAAAAGATATGCATACACTAGAAAGCCTGAATCAATATTTAACATATTGTCAGCAAATGATATTAGAGTTAGGTTTGGGTTTTTTTTTTTTTTCCTTTATATATATATTTTATTTTTTATTAAATTGTTTCAGATTGAATTACTGCATTACTATAATGATAAAGTTTTGTATGTAAAGTTTTAAAATTTTCATCCTTTGTAAATCCTTTTTCTTTTGGAAGGTTATCCGTGGTCGTTGTGGTGTCATTTACACTCAGGACTTATTCATGCAGAAAGACCCTCCTGTGCCAATAGCCAGTGGTTTCCGTTATAATGACCAGAACCCATCAAAAAATGATATGTCTGTCTCTTTCTTTGAGGAAACTATTGAGATCACTGATGATTATTATGAACGAGTGGAAATTCCAAAATTTGATGAATGTGAGAATGCTATTGTCTTACATGATTTTGAAAGGGTAAGTCTCTTCTATTTATTTTCATATTATTCTGTAAAAGTTTTTAATTCTTAAATATTTAAAGGAAACATAATGTAACTAAATGGCCATTTTTGTAGTTTGATAAATGAATGCTTGATACTAGAAAACCTATACAAAGCTGTAAGTCATGTATTTGTACCAACACAAATCATTAGTGAACTTCTTTGCATTTAAAATGAATGAGAAGAGAAATATAGGTGGTGCACCTGGGTTAATGGCATGGAGAATGGAACTCCAGCAGGGACAGTTTGCATTTGTATCAAATTAATGACTTTGGAAAAGGCATGAATCTATATCTCTCCTTAGCTATGGGATAATTGGAGCTCTTGCCCTGTAAGGTAGTCCATTTTGGTTGTCAACACTAGCAATCTAGCCATATAAAAATTCACTTGCTGTTCCACGATTTGCCTTTAGGCATAAACACAAAATAAAAATGTAATGATTCTCTCTATAAGAGAGACTAGAGCCACAAACGGGCCAATCTGTTTTCACTTTCTTTTTCACTTCTTGGAACTCATTTATTTTATTAGCTTAATGCTCTTCATTGGAAATTCTTAATTATAAATCTGGCAAAAACAATCTCTTATTAGTTTACATATAAATCAATATTATGAGGGGAAATAAAAAAAAAAAAAAAAAAAAAATAGAATTAAATCATTTATACTTGGATGAAGAACAACTCCTTATTCAATATCAGATTCAAAAAGTTATGTTTATCCATGGCCTACTAATATATAATACTAGTTGGCCATAGTTTATCCCATTGTTAGTAACCCTCTGTTAGTACCATGGGGTGTTTGAACACTCTATGAAATATTTTTCTTTAATATTTGGCAAGTCAGATTTTCATGATTAGTCAAGTTGCTTTCTTGAATATTTTTATCAATATAAAGAATTTCTGGTATTAGTCATAATATTTGTGTTAATGAAAAGCAATTTTATATGTTTACTGAAAATAACGTGAAAGTTATTTTTGCATATTTGGATTTTTAAAATTTTAAAATTCTCGTTTTAATATTTTAATTTATTGTTTTTCGTTTTTTTTTCCTTTCTAAATAAAGTTGATTATATTTTTCTTTTAATCTTATAAAAGCCAGAAAGAACACTTGTGATGATATACATAAAGAAAAATAACTAAATAACTACACTATGTTTAATGAGGTGTTTGAACCTCCTGCTACCAAGTACTAATGCTGTAAGAATGTTTCACTTTATTAATGGAAAGTTTAAAAAAAAAAAAATTCATTTAAATGATAATTTTATGCTTTCAGTTTACAGCAAACAGATTAAATGATTTCATATCCTTTTTAATCTACTTTGAGAAATATTAATCATTTGAAAATAGCAATCTAAGAATTTGAATTTCTAATGTGAAAAGTCTTTTTGAAGAACATATGCAAATCTCGCATTTTTACATCAGAAGAGTAACTTGTTTGGAAATTTAAAGCAATTCCATCTTAACTATTCAAACTTTGCTATTTAAGATTCTAGGTTAGTTTGAAACAGATTTTTACTTTTTGAAACTCCATTGAATAGGTTCCAGGTTTCCAAGGTGCTAAGTAATTCACTCCTTTATTTACACATGGATTATAGTCCCTACCTTTGTTGTTATGCTTCAATCGTTGTGCCCTCTGTTATTCATCAGATAATGATAATTCCTCAACTTAGAAATTCAGATTTTAATCTTTACTTGAAATTTTGGATTTTGCTAATACTATTGAGTTGTTTGGAAAGTTCATAATGATTTTCAGTTGTTCATGTTCCAACCCATCAAATTTATTGAGAGATAGAATATACTTACATTTCTGATTAGGGTACACTTCAAACTCTTTCTTGAGAATGAAAGTTTAAAATTACTTAATCATGTCAATTTTGCATCCCTATGAAAATGGAAGATTATAAGGTGCATTTTACACACTTGATGCATCTTATCTTTTTTATTGCTTACAAGGCATTTTTGTCTTTATGGTAAGAAAAATATATATGTGTTAAGTATGGTGAAGGTGCTCTAGTTGACTGTATAGAAGTGGTTCACTAAGTTTAGAGTTGGTGATTGTAGTATGAAGAATACTTAGATAGACCCCCACTACATGACCAAATCAAGACATTGAGAATAACCTGCATTACACAATGTGAGAATATGCAGAAACACTAAATTTATCAAAATCAACTATCCATGAGCACTTGTTGAAACTTGGGTACTCAAATTGCTATGATGTTTGGGTACCACATGATCTGAGTGAGAGGAATCTTTTGGATTGCATTTCATCCATGATTTGCTGTATAAACACAATGAAAATGCACATTTTAATCAAATTGTCACGGGTGAGGAGAAATGGATTCTTTCCAACAATGTTCAGCAAAAAAAGATCTTGAGGTAAGCGACATGATCCAACTTTAGCCACCTCAAAAGCAGGTCTTCATCCTAAGAGAAGTCATGCTGTGCATCTGGTGGGGATTGGAAAGGAATTCTGTACTATGAGCTTCTGCCAAGTAACCAGTCAATTGATTCTGAAAAGTACTGCTCACAACTGGATGAATTAAAGGCAGCAATTAAAGAAAAATGCCCAGAATTGGCAATTAGAAAAGGTATTGTTTTTCATAAGGATAATGCCAGACCAAATGTTTCTTTGGCAGCCTGGCAAAAATTGTTGCAGCTTTGCAGGGATGTGTTACCCCCCACCTGCCATATTCAGACATTGTTTGTTCAGATTTTCATTTATTCAGGTCTTTGCAAAATAATCAATGGTAAAAATTTTAATTCTTTGGATGACATAAAAAAAACACCTTAATGAGTTCTTTGCAGAGAAACCACTGAAATTCTCGGAAGATGAAATCTTTAACTTGAAGAAAAAAATGGAGAAAGGTTGTGCAACAAAATGATTCATATTTAGTTAAATAAATATTTAATAGCATAATTTTGTTTTGTGTTAAAAATTGACATGTACTTTCCATACAACCAATTTGGTTATAAAATATTCAAATCTTTAAAATTAGCTGATAGAAAAATTAATTTTCAACTCTATCTTCAAGATAAACATGAAAAAAAAAATACTTAGTATTGGAAGATTTGGTAATTAAAATTACATGCACAGAACAATGGGCAAGGAAATTGACTAATATCTGGAAGACACAAGTACATGATATTCATCTCTACAATTACAAGGTTAAGAAAAAAGAGCTTTTATTTATTTTTTTATTTAAGCTTCAGGCCATAGGAGCATAAGAGACAAAATTCAGTGTTCTCTTTGAATAATACAAAGGAATCATTTACCACTTGAAGTACACTTGGACAAGTGGCTTTTAAAATGTTTGATAAATATTTTTAAACTGAATTTCCAAATTTTTATTTATTCTCTAAGTATTATTAAAGGAAAACTTGTAAAAATAAGAGTGATGATATATTTCAGAATTTCACTGCTATTGTGGATAAAGACATTGGCAGATGTTTCATCATGAAACTGAACAGATCAGTGATTGCTCCCCCAAAAGATTTGTGGGATTTACTTCACAAATTGAAAGTAAGTTTGCTTGTTTTTTCTTTAATAGAAATGATAATTTTATATGAATTCCTGGTTACCATTTTGAATTGTTTTCTCTTTATTGTTTAAAATATAAATGGATGACATTTCTACTATGTTAAGGATGGTTTATATACTTTTTATTTCTAATAGTTTTGTAAATACAAAATAGTATATAATTTATTTGCCAAAGTCAAATATAGCAGGTTATTAGAAAATAAATGAATATGATTTTGTCTTAGCTTTACTGTTTAGATCTCCTATTTGAAATATTAAAATTGTCACTTGAAATTGGTTACTTCAGGTGCTTCTGCCTTTCTTTTTAACATGCATTTTCTTGTCTTTATCTAGTCTGGATATTACATGCCCCGTGCAACTGTTGTGAGAGAAACCTACTCAGTTGAAATCCCTGCCTTGGATAATCTTTCTATTCTAGGACCTTATGTCAGAAGTGAATGTAGTCGCTTCACTACATTCATGCTACGGAAGATTATTAATCGTGAGTAATTTCTTTTTCTTTCTTTTTTTATTAAAACAAAAATATCTTTAGTTAAAGCCATAAGGTTTGGTTTTCAGCAGCTTGTCTAAATGAGGGAAGTTTTAAAGCCATAAGGTTTGGTTTTCAGCAGCTTGTCTAAATGAGGGAAGTTTTGTATATTCTTTTTTTTTTGCTAAAATGCTGGCATATTCTATTTTTGAGAAATGTTATAAAAATAATACAGAACCAGATTGCAGAAAAAACTTGTTTAGCATGCTTTCTCTTCAATTCCAATAAGAAATGTTATGGCAAAAAGAGCTCCAAATACATCAGAAGTAAACCAATATCTTTGCCAAGACAAAAAGTAGGAAGTAATTTGGGAACATCTGCCAGAAAGAAAATCTTATGGTAACTTTTATGTTAGTATTTAAGCCTTGCAAGCAGTAAAATCTTTATATAAAAGAACTTTTATACTGAAAAACTTTCATCTGAAAATTCTTTAACTACTCTGCATCATCTAATTGCTTACAAAAGATCAGTGAATAATATTTAGAAAATATTTTTTATATACTCAGATTTCAATGCCTGATTTTTGCTGTTCTGACAATGATTAACATTTAAGAGTTATGTTTAAAATTTGTACTTTTTAAGTTCCATTGAATGTCTTTTTGATAATTCATCAAATTTTATTGATATTTGAAGGACTCAAACTGTCCTATTTTCTTGCTAAAATCCATTTTAAAAAAATTCTTTTATTTTTATTTTCAGAGCGCCTCAAACGTTCTGCGGAATCTTTATCAAATTCTGAGCATTATGGCTTTGCTGATCACAAACAAAGACTTTGGAAGCTGAAGGTGTTCTTTCCGTGATTAGCGATAAAGCGATATACAATGGAGCAGTAACAACTTAATAAACAACTATTGACTGTTGAGATGTCTAAAACCTGCTCCTTGATTCCATAACACTAGGTGGCCTCTCAGTGGGCTTGCATAGACATTTGACTACATCGACAAAGAATATGAAACAAATATTCTGGAATGCAGTCAGTGCATTTTTTTTTTTTTAATTCCACAGAATCACTGGCAATGTCCATGCAAGTTCCACAGTTTGGATAATATATGCAAGCAGATAATTATTCTAGACAAACCCACCAGTATTTTTATTCTAGAGTCTTAACAAGAATGCTTTTGTGATCATTAAATCGATCTTTCATATTGGTGAAAATATTAATTTGTAAATTCCTAACATGAATCAATGGATAAGCTGTGAATAAATGAAATCTTGTAGTCTTAAATTGTATCTATAACACCTGTACACACAGTTCATTTTCTTTTTTTTTTTTAAGAGACCACCAGCCTATCAGCAAATGAATTCCTAGCTTTACATCTTACACTTCTCTCTCAATAATTTCTGATTGTAACTTTGTATAATCCTTGAACTCAAATCACACACAATCCATAGAATGCAACCAGTTCATTATACTATTACTCTTATTTTCACCCTATGTCACCTACTCAAGTGATTTCTTTCGATAATGACAGTGGGGGGAAAAATCTATGAACTAAGTTTTATTTTATTTTTATATATTTGGTGTTCTGTGAATTGTAACTGAGTTCAAGTATGTTCACATAAATACATGTCAAGTTTTTATTACTTTTCTTTTTAGATTAGCTGAATATCTCTTGAAATTGTAATTTGGTTTATTAATGGAATAATGCAGATCATCTCTGAAAGAAACTGTTTATTGAATTGAAAATCCATTGTATCCAGTGATTTGCTTCCTCACATATATACGTGTGTGTGTGTGTAGCTGTATATTGGAGATAATTATCTGTATGTATTCTCATCAATATTGCTCCTTTATTTTTCTCTCTCTCTATCCTTGGTTCTACTATTTCCGCTCTTATTTTTAATATAAATATATATATAAATGTTTGTTGTTTACACTCCCCAACAAGATAATTAGTCTAAATTCTTAATTATATTAATCAACTTTTTTCATTGTATAAGAAAGTACTTGAGTGAAATACTGTTGACATGAAACTGGCATTGAAATATTGAACATATCCAGTTAAACTTGCGTTTTGTTTAATCCCTTTGCAAGTTTATTAGATTACCATTGGAATCTGTAAATGCTAGCACTTTCCACTTGGAAAGTTGTTGAGTACTTGAGAGAGAAAAGGCTGTTTTTACTCCTGTATACATAAATATAAATTTATACAAGTTTCTCCCCCTGCCCCTCATAAAGGGTTATTCACATTTAAATTTCATTTTCCTTCCACTTCTCCCAAATTCTTTACTGATACTTCAGAATACCTCATTTTTTTTTAAAATCTGAATTCTCAATAATTTTAAGTTTCTCTTTGACATTTTATTAACATTCTCATGAATGTTAAAAATAAACTAGATCTGCATATGCAACTTTATGTTGCACGCAGCCCAGGCTTAACATTTGAACATTCCAAAGCCTGCAAGGTTAACAATAATCAATTTGTATTCTAAAGTCTGTGCTCACTTTAATTTTTAACTTTATCAAAAGACACAGCAGGAAGGTAATAATCGGACTGTATATTAGCATGACGTTGTCACTTCTCAAAAATTACGTTTTTAGACTATCCTTTTTTTCTTTTTTATTCAGTTCTTTTACACTTTTTAAATGACTCCCTCTTTGTTATTGACATGTTTCCCTTCTAACCCATGAAATTTAATTTTTATTATATATATATATATATATATATATAATCAGTTGATTTTTTTTCTGTGTTGCATTGACTTTCAAACATTTTATTTTGCAAACTTTGTTTTTCATCTCAACCCTGTTGAAATCTTTGCCTCTCAACATTCATTGAATTGTTTTTTTTTTTTTTTGGGTTTTTTTTTCATTAAAAATCTTTACAATCACAGCTCAGAGCAACTTTGTTTGGTAAGGTTACTTTTGATTTAAATTAATTTGGTTAAAAAGAATCCAAAGTCAATGCAATTCATTTTTATTTCAAGCAATTGTCAGTTATTATTCCTAGAACAGTTCTACTAGTGCTTTAAACCATTCTGGTTGTGAAATGAACAATTTCTTTAATCAACTCACTCAAATGATTATATGACTTTTTAAGGGAAATTATTACATTAAAATGACTTAACTTTTTTTTTCTCCATCCAAACAAAGAAAAGGTTACAATTTTGATATTTTTATAACTTGTCTTTTTAGATTAATTTTATTTTAGCAATAAAATAATAATAATAAAAGTAAAACTAGTATACTAATTAGGTAGTCCTTTTATTCAATTTGTTTGTTAATCTTACTATTTTCATAATGTGGCCACATAATACCCTGGGGTCTGCTTATTAAATTTAAATGAATTTGTATTTTTGTAAAGGAAACACTAATTATAAAATGAAGATTTTCTCAAAATATATATTTATGGAATAATTTATTTTAAATTCATTTTTTTTTTCTAGATAAATTGTAGGTTAAATTTTATTTAAAATAAAAACTATTTTTATTACTATCTTTTCAATTTGAAAGATGCCTAATGTTTTTGTCTGTTGAACAGGTTTAGTATAAATTGCGATCTATGAGGAAATTAGACTCTTACTGCTGACAGAAACAAAGAAAACCTGATTTAAAAAAAAAGAAATATGTACTGTTTAGATTTTGCTTAATTTGTAGTTAAAATTGTTTTCCACCCTGAACTTAGTTTATCAAGCCTTATTTCAATTTAAGTTTTTTTTTCCAACCATTGAATATTTGCTAAAAATACTGAGACTTTAAATTGAAAATTCATAGCTCCCTTCCTAAGTAAACCAAGACCAAAATCTCACCAATGTATTGTTCCTGTAGATAACAATTATTGATTAATGTATGTAGATCTACAATAAAATATACAATTAACTAAATGAATAAAAATGTTGCTTCAAGAATTAGAAGACCACAAGATTGCTGTAATCTTTACAATGCTTGCTGCTTTGTTGTTGCTTTTAAAGGTTTTCAACTCCTTTCTCAATTGTAACCTGCTCATGAAATATTTTTCTATCACCTCTGGCCCTTTCTTTTTTTTTTCCTCAATTTCCTAGAATTGGTCATGTGCTATTGAAAATAATTCTGCTCACCAATTTTGTTAGTCTTCCTCATCCCCACCCCCCCAGGGAACTGTCAGTGGACTCAATTTTAAACTCTTACAATCCTTCATGGCTTTGTCTTGAATAGCCAGGAAGTTTTGGTAACTATCCACACTTGAATTTCACAAACAAATACTTTTGTGTTCAGATGGAGTTTCAAAGCTTATTATTCTATTAAACTTGGTTGACATTTTTTTTTGTTATATTTTGTACAATTCCCACTCTGAAATAAAATGCAGTCATTAACCTTAATGATGCTTTACTTCAATTTCTTGAGAGAATAAAAAAAAAAAATTTTTTTCCTTCAACAATGGCATATTTATATAGTGCAACTGAATTTAATCTAACATATAAATATAAAGGTGAGGATTTCAGGGTTTAAAGAGCTTCATGCTTAGATACATTTGCTGCACTTATGATTTCTGTGAATGGTACTAATAGCAATTTTGTGGGGGGGGGGCACAAAAAATTTATTGAGCCTTTTATTATCATCATCAGAATCTGAAATATTGGTCTTACAGTCTATAGATAAAGTGTTTAGCTCGAAGAGAGAAAAACATAAGACCCTAACAAAGGGCAGAACTCTCAGCAAGTCAACAGCCAGCTAACTAGAGGTGGTGTCTCACAGAGAGAAGGAATCCCAAGATATATCATGGCAATTAACAAACACTATGAAACCTAATGGCGTGAAGGGGGTTAAGACCAGCATGTGCAACACGTGTCTCCTGACTGGTAAGCAGCTAAAAGAAGCCTAACACTGCCCAAATTGCAATACAACAGACTCCTGAATGACTCAAAGCTAAAGGAAAAATACATGGAATGTGTGAAAAGAAAATATGAAGGACGAAATGGAAACTCTAAATGGGACACACTTAGTGACATCAGCAAATGATGTCAACCTAAAGGAGACAGAAAATGATATCAAGACATAAAATGGAATACAGAAAATTACACAACGAAATAAGGACCAAATGCAGGCAGGCTAAAGAAGAATGGCTCAACAAAAAATGTGCAGAAATACAGAGGATGAGTATTACAGATAAAGAAGATATGCATTCAGCCTAATGAGCCACATAACAAAACTCATCATCCGAATTCTGATGAATACAGGGTGCAGCAGAATGAGGCCAGAGATAGGACAAGAACAATGTGTATTCATTAAAGTCACTAGAAGAAGGAATACAATATTTATGCTCAGAATGTTATCAGGAAGAGCAATACAAATGCAGAAGAACGTGTACCTGTGTTTTATAGACTACACAAAGGCAATCAACAAAGTATGCCACAAAGATCTGTTAGAGCTGATCAGCAACCTTAACATACTTGGGAAAGACATTAAAACAATTAAAAATCTCTACTGGCAGCAAACTGCATATATCGGCTAAAAAAATGAGTTCAGTAGATATACAATAATAGAAAAGGGGCATAATACGAGTGCGTCTTCTCAGTGGATTTATTCAACCGATACAGTGATGCAATTCTGAGAGAATTAGAAATCCTACCAAGATTCATCACTGGTGGCCACAGTCTTAACAACAGAAGATATGCAGATGATACAGTGCCGATAGCAGACATGGAAAGGAAACTACAAGACCTCCTACAGAAGGTAGTGAAGGAGAGTGAAAAGAAAGGACTAAGCATAAGCTCCAAGAAGACAGAAAGCATAGTCATCAATAAATAGATGAGCCCAAAATGCAATTTACAGGTTGGGGACACTAAAATCAAGCAGGCGTGGAAATTTAAATATCTGGGA